TTTTTTTAGGAACCCATGTCAGCTGACCAACTTAAAAATCCTGGTGTAGGCTGGTGGTAGAAACCAGGGAAGAACACTAGTGTTCCCATTAAGGACCAGATTAGTAGACACTACAAGAGGGAACAGAAATATAAGGACGCAACACCTATACAGTTTTTGAGTGAAAGGAAAAAGGGAAAATGTATCCTTTGTAGAGAGTCCCAGTGTGAGACAAATAGCAAACAGCTAATGAAGCAGGAAGGGGGAGCGGGGGAAGGGATACAGGAATGGGAATGGGAGCACAGCACCCAGAAACCATGGGCATCGGGTGCTTGTTTAAGGTATGTATGATGTAAGACAGCCCCAATTTAAAAGGATTTTTATAAAAGACAACCTAAGGGCATTTGGAGATCAGGCCTCATATTGTAAGTTTCCATTTTTACAAGTCTATTCTGAGTCTCTGGACTCAAAAATCTACCACAGTGAGTCCACTGTGATAAGACTCTCTTGAGTTACAAAACAGAGGGGTGTGAGAACTCCATGGTAGGACACCTTGTCTCGTGGAACATGGTGAGGACTGCCTCGCCTGGCTCGCTGCTAGTCACGTCAGTGGTCTGGCGCAGGAGGCATCTTCAATGGCTGACTGACAAAGGAATGGGCACCATGAACGGTACTTAGTACTTGATAAAAGGGGAACTCACCCAGATGAAACCAATTTTGGCCTGGTAGAAACCAAGGACAAGAAGGGTGTCTTTCAAAATCTTTCAACACGTAGCCCTGGGCCAGTGGGAAAAAACAGTCCCCCTCCCCCCAGGACCTCCAGATGTAATTTTTTTTTGGCCCGGGTATGTCTCTCCACCAAGGAGGTAATCCAAATTTCACCAAATCAAATCGAATTTTAAAAAAAGCCCAGTTTTAATGGATGACAGAGCTCTTGGGAGGCCCTCGGGGAAAACACGGGGAAGGGGAAGGACAACCTGAGAGACCACATGTTCCTTCTCTGGGGGGCAGTTTAAATAGCCTGTGGGGGTGGTCTTGACCCTCTCTGGGGAGCAGTCACCATTTGTCAGGCTTTCTTGGAGGTGGAGTTTAGACTGTGGCAACTCCCAGGGGAGGGGGCTTGAAATGGAACTTTCCACTCAAGCTTTTAGAAATGAATGTCAGGAGCTGGGCTGACACTTTCAACCAAACATTCCAGACATTTTTGATAAGGATGTTAGGGGTTGAGGTAACACTCCCAACCAAACATTCCAGACTGTTTTAGATAAGGATGATAGAAGCTGAGGTGATGCTTCCTACTAAACAATTTGCATTCTGTTTTCTCCTAACGTTAATGAAATGAATCATTAGTTGCTTAAGAGTATCAAAGCAAAATCATTCAGTTCATTTTCAACACTGTCCTTAACTTACAGTTTTGCAGTGATTACAAATGTTAGAATATGATACCCAGGCTTTATAAACTGACTAAGTCACATTGATATTGTGTAACAGCTCAATTGTCAAGGTTGTGATTTGCTACTCTTTGTTGTAGGGACAAAAACCTTGTAATTACTAGTTTGGAATCTGTTGACCTGAATATTAATAATACATAGAATTCTTAGAAGTCTAGCTTCTTATTATTTTCAAGATCTTTTAGAAGTAACAAATGATTTTTTCTTAAAGCAAAAGGGGTTATTGTATAAGAAAATCACTGTGATTGTTATTCTACTTCCTTCCAAAACATAAAAATAGCAAAAGAGGAAAGTGGGGCTAAGATAATTGGGATACAACTGCACTCTTCTGGAGTTCCTTTGGATTTGAGCATCCACACATTCTAGGAACTGTTTCAGAATTTCAAGGACACAATTTTGCAAATATTTTGTCCACAACTAATTAGATTTAAAGATTTAAACTCTGTATAGAAACCTCTACATGTAATATAAATGTCCAGACTTCTCCTGAGGTCATAGGTACATGCAATAAATAGGAACTTTCCTCATTTCTAATCCATATGGCTAATTACCTTCACCATTTGTTCATATCACTGAGAAGATAAAGGTCTCAGTCACTGAAAACTTCTTTGTTCCCCTAGATGGGGACATTCAAGGAACAAGCAGC